TATGTAACTTCCTCAAATTATCTAGGTCAGGACAATCCGTTCAAAAATTAACAAAGTTATAGCTACTAATAGCAACAAGCAACCTGGATATAACTTTGGGGTAGCAACCTGGATGTTGTGCTCTGCAGATTGTGACATTTGTTCTAAGTAATTTTAAAATCTTTGAATTGTCAATAAGTTATAGAGCGGACATGAAAAATAGATATTTTAAAATTGGAGTTTTAAGTGTGACCCTGACCTTGACAGTAGTGACTTGATTGTTGTGCTCTGCACATCGTCTCATAATAATGGTGATTATTTCTTCAAAAAAAAATTCAGCGGTTTAAAAGTTATGGAACACAAACAAAATGTAGACTTATTACCACTTGGTTATTAAGTGGGACCTTGACCTTGGTGGTAGCAATCCAATTATTGTGCTCTGCACATGGTCTCATAATGGTGATTACTTGTTTGTTTAGGTTTTACGTCACACAGGTGATTACTTGTGCCAAGTTATTTAAAAAAAATTCTGCGGTTACAAAGTTATGTAGCAGACTCAAAATGTAGACTATTAACCCTTGACCTTTAAGTGTGACCTTAATCTTGGGGGTAGCAACCCAATCATTGCGCTCTGCACATCGTCTCATAATGGTGATCTGACTTGTACCAGGTTATTTTTAAAAAATTTCAGCAGTTTAAAAGTAAGGTGCTGACACGAAAGTGTTACAGACGGACAAAGGTCATCCCTATAATCTCCTCCCTGCTTTGCAGTAGAGGATTAAAAAGACTTTGGGAAAATAAACAATTTGGGCTAAAAAACTGCTAACTTTAAAGAAATAAAACTGGATGTCAGACAAACAACAGATTAATAGTTTAGTGTAGACAGTAGTTACCAGTCTAGACACTTGTTAACAACTAAACACTCCATGAATTTTGCACAAAGTCCTAGTGATACCCAAGGATTCTTAAATAGTAACATCTTGGCTATTGTATACTGCTGAGACAGGTGAAACTTATTAAAATTTGTGCTTACAGCCAAAAAAAAAACGATGAGGGCCCAAAAACCAAACTTAACAAAAAAAAAATTCTTTCTTTAGAAAAATTTATTTAATTTTTTAAGTAAAACATAAAGCAAGAGGTAAATTTGACCAATTTTAAGAGCTTTTAATTATTGCTCTGATTTTACCAAAGACCACTATCCTACATACAAACCTCAATCCTCGGCATCATGGAGGTAAAATTCTATTTTTAGTAACAAACTGGTTTTTCAAACACTAAGTATAAACTTTTTTATATTTAGCATTTGGAAAAACCAAAATTAACAATTGGTTTCCCTTCTTAATAATTCCTAAAATCATGACAATATTATTTTCCTGATAACCAATGTTTGAAAGCTTTTTTGCCGACCTTGAGGTTAATTAACATTGGCTACAAATATTTGTGAAAACTTTCTGAGCACTGTTGAACTACTGAATGTTTGTTGAAAAAATGTCAGCTGCCAAAAATACATATTTGTAATCCCAAACTTAATCTTTGCATTATATGTACACTCAAAAACATCACTCTGCTTATTACAAAATTTGTGAATACTTTCTGTACGAGAGTTGACTTTATCATCTTCATGACGATGATTTTATTTTGTAACTTGGCAAAATTAAGCAAGTATATTTCAAAACATAAAAATATCTTCTTACAAATTTAAATTTTATTATTTGTCTTTGATAAATTAGTTAATACAAATATGTTTCAAACTAATGCCAGCCAGTGAGCCAAGTTATGCAGTAATTTTGGCTGCTTAAGACAAGTTGCTGATAAACAGAGGGTCAAGCTGGTGGCTGACAAATCGCGGGTCAAATTGGTGGCTGACAAATCAAGGGTCAAGTTATCATAAAAATATATTCCTTATTTATGTAAAGCTAACACTAATATACTATGCTTGTGATCTTATATACATAATCATTATAAAATACAGTAATGTTTTTTATTTGTTTGCTTCCCTAAAATCCTTTGCTTGAAAAAGCTCTACTTCTTCATTACTGTAGTAGGTCATATGGTCACATTGGTTCACAGCCATTTTACCAATAAGACCATGATTCATGGAGAATGCAATTCTACAATCTAAGCTCTAGGTCAAATAGTTTCACACAATATTCTTATATTTAAAGTCTGTACAAGTTTTGACCTGGGAGTATGTTTGTTTGTTTGTTTCATTTTACGCCTTTTCCCAACAGTATTTTAGTCATATAGGCGGGTAGTTTCCTAACCATCGTTCCTGGAGAGTTACACCAGTACTAGACTACCTTCCTCCACGCTATACTACCAAAGCATCTCCCGGGATCGAACCCACGCCAGAGAGGTAACTGGATTAGAAGTCATCGACTCTAACCCCTCGACCACGGAGGCGGTTTGTATGAATTATATCTCTTGTTGAAAGCCTCACCATGCACAATATCAATGCTCCAGGCAATGTAAGCAGATTTTTACAGTAACCAAGTTCTTACACAAGTCCATATAGCAAAAGTGATCCCGGGTGAGACCATTTTTTACCAAATTACCATGATTCATTCCAGTTTTGTAGAGGTCCACTATTTAGCATTAGTTATTGGTCATTTACATAGAGGATATTTGTTTGTTTGTTTTGCATGTTAGATTTAGGAAATAGATATCAATTCTGAGTGCATTGTTGTAGAATAATGCATGGTTTGAGTTCAAATGTGTAGTTATATAATCACGAAGGCCGATATGAGTGATTAATTACAAAGCATTTGAACTTAAAATGTGCATTATTATACAATAATGCACGAAGAATTAATATCTATTTCCATTCTACACGTCAAGAAAAAATATAATAATTATTATAAAGTTGGACTTCATGTTTGGTGGTTAAATTTGTTTCGCCTAAGAGTTTCCAATAGAAACGTTCTTTAAAGGCTGTTCCAGTGGGTTGATAAAAACTGTCGCTAAATCTACCAATGAGTTTCATTTGAGTCAAATTTCAATTGGTATGTATAAATTATACATGTCATTTTATTGTTTTTACTATTTCATAAGTTTTACTCTATTCATTTAATGGGCCACTAGATTGAATTATCAAATATTGAATATAAATGCAGATACTGTACTTGGAATGTTCATTCATTCATTTTGAAATAATTAAATAATTTAAAGGTTAAATGACTGTTATATTTGCTATTGGATATGAGATATATATGTTTTATTACATGCTTTTCGGTGGTTTATAGAAATATATCAGTGATATAAAACTGGTAATTTCACTGTTTGAAACAGTGAAATTACCACTTTGATAATTTCACTGTTTTGAATTTAAGCCCCTTACGTTGTTTCAGTGAAATACCAGCGTGCACAGTACTGGGTACCAAATTAATGATGTGACGTCGTAAATGACATCACGTTGTATTATAATTTGGCGCGCTTTTCATTCAGTATTAGGTTAAAACGTTTCTTTGCATGTAAACACCAAAAGTTCATATTTCACTCGTGGCTGCGCCACTCGTGAAATATACCTTTTGGTGCTCACTTGGTGAAATATATTCCTATCTTACACTGAACTAAACAAATATCCTCTATATAATCATGCTATGACTTAAATTGTATATATTGTGAGGTGTTAATGATCTCAGTATGTACATGTATTTAGTATTGTTATATTTGTTAAATGTTTCAGCACTTGATAGAATTATATGTGAGGACTCATTTATGTATATACACAATCATATTACTTTCATTTGTGTTTGGAAGCTTCATAATTGATTGGAGTTTATCAAAAAGCTATGCTGGCTGATTTAGTACGCTTTTCTGTGTTTAGTTGGCTCAAGCGACAAAGGGCTTAACGGCGCATTATGATCGCACTGTTGTCTTGTTGGCTAGCTACAACACGTCAAAGCGCCAAATGGCACTTTGTGGTACTGTTGTCTTGTCGTCCTGTCTCTAGTGCGGCATGCCAAACAGTGTGTTGTCGTGCAGCGCATTGTCCCGATGTCGCCCTGTCGCTTGGCTTATAAGCCAATCCTTCAATTTGAAGCAGGCGACAATGTGACATAGCAACAACATGCCACATGACAACGCGCCATTTGGCGTGCCACGCCAGAGACAGGACGACAAAACAACAGAGTGAGAACGCACCATTTGGCGCTTTGTCGTGTTGTCTCTTGAGCCAACAAGACGCACAAAAGCGTACAAAATCAGCCACCATAGCAAGTACATGATGTGACCATAACCTCATGGGTTAAATATTTGATATTTATCACACATCCGTGCCGATTTTGTGACTCCGTAAATATGGTATTGCACGGCCGTGCATATATTTTGATGTGACCTCATTAGCGTAATACAAAAATAGTGTAAAGACGCGCTAAATGTTAGCGTTATACTATAGGCGCGTCAATGAAAAATGACTCTTATTTCACTTTAAATGGTCTTTATTTTGGGTATGTGATAAATAGAATATCAAACTCGTGTAAGTTCATTACTGAATTTATTGCACTCGTTGAATAAAATAATATTATGCTCGCCAGAGGCTCGCATAATATAATTTTATTAAACTCGTGCAATAAATTCAGTATTGAACTTACACTCATTCAATATCCTCTACTTATATTTATACTAAGATCATAAACTGATGACATTTCAGTTAAAAGTTATTGAAGGAACTCAGCCTTCTTTATAATTTATACCTTTACATCATAAAGGGCATAATTTAAGCAAAGGTAACATTACCATTTATTTCTTTTCCAAATCTTTTAGTTTGGTTTAAAGTGTACAATGTCTGTTTTAAAAAAAGTTTACAGCCATAATTATAGCCATATGATCATTTTCAATTTGCATTGGTCTATATGAAAATTTGATGGGCAAAGCTGTGATTGAAATTTAGACTCAAGATAAAAGACCCTGTTCTACAATACTAATTAGACTGAAAAAATATAGCTCTGCCCTCTCAACTTTATCACATTGTCAAATGCAAACACTAACTTACAACCATATATTAACATTAAAGTGCTCACCTGAGAACAGAATGGTGTAATGTTCCCTACTGTTATATCACTCTAAATGCTGGCACTTTCACATGTTGGTGATCTGTTTATATGAGAGCCATCGACAATTCTGTTTCTAGAGCCATTGGCCAAAAACAAAGCTGAAAAACATAAAGGCAAACACAGTTAATCTAAAAAAATCCTTATTTAAAAGATATGCCTGTTTTTAAAAAATCAAAGAATGCTATGTCACGAAGAACATATTTCTCATAATTTTGGATGCCATTTCAATATGAACTTCGTCAAAATAATGTTGCATGTTGCTAGAACTTTTACCCAATAGTCCATAAAAAATTATATTAAATAATTTATTCACATAACAAAAAAACTAGAACTCTGCAAGTCGGATGTGTCACCTTGTAAACAGTATAGTTGTCACTTAGGCATAATCTTCTTAAATATAGGTTATTTATAATATATCTTATATATATATCTTATAATGTACATGTACCATGAACTTTAGTGTAATTTGAATTGATTGTAACAATATGTTACATCAGGATTAATGTAGCTTGAATAGCTTTTATTGTATAGGAGTTGTATAGTGGCCTAGACAGAAATAAAGTATAATAATTAACAAAGAGCAATAACTATAAAATCATGAAGTACAGAATACTGGTTCTTGAGTACTGCTCTTCTTCTCAATAAGATATATAATCCTATGAAGTTTCAAGTCGGCTTAGGTGAAATGTCTGGGACAAAAATAAAGTATTATAATCAACGAAGGGCAAAAACTCTAAAATTATGAAGAACTGAGTGCTAGTTTTACTGCACTTCTTCTCAATAAGTTATACCATCCTGTGAAGTTTCATGTCCATATCTTTTATAGTTTAGAAGTAATGGCCTGGCCAAGAATGAAATATGAAAATTAACAAAAGGCAATAACTCAAACAAGAGGGCCATGATGGCCCTGAAATCGCTCACCTGTATATAGGCCCCCGGGGCTGGGCCAATTTTAACCCAGGGGATTTTATTTGAACAAACTTGGTAAACATCCATTTGAAGATGTTTCATGATAAATATCCATGCTCTAAGATTTTTTAAACAAAGCAATTATAGGGAAAAACAATGACCCCCCCCCCCCTCTGGGCGGGGCCAATTTTGTCCCCAGAGCTTTTATTTGAACAAACTTGGTAGACACTCACTAGAAGATAATTCATGCTTAATATCTTAAATCTAGCTATTTGGGTTTTTTAAAAGAAGATTTTTTAAGTTTTTACTATATACAAATAAGGAACATCAATGACCGCCCCCCAGGTGTTCCTATTTTGATCCCAGGGCATTTATTTGAACAAACTTGGTAGACACTGAATAGATGATGTTTTATGCCAAATATTTAAGCTCTAGCTCTAACGGTTTTCTAAAAGAAGATATTTTAAGGTTTTTCTTTCTGTTGCCATGGCAACCAGAGTTCTGCTTGGAATTAAATTCTTTGATTTTTTAAAGTTTGGGTGAAATTGGCTTAGTGGTTTATGAGGAGATGTCGTTTAAAGTAAAAGTTTACGGATGGACGGATGGATGGCCGGTCTAAAAGCGATCACAATAGCTTACCATGTCACCTTGTGACAGTTGAGCTAAAAGAAAGGAGTGCAGAGTACCACTTTTTGTGCACTGCACTTCTTCGCCATAAGATCTATCATCCTATAAAGTTTCAAGTCAAAATCATTTTTAGTTAAGGAGAAATGGCCCCGACAAAAATATAGCAAGAAAATTAACAAAGGTCAATAACTAAAAAAATAAGAAGTGCTGCACACTGCACTTCTTATTAATCCTATAGACTTTCAAGTCCATAGCTTTTAAAGTTTAACCCTTTCCCCCATAAGCATATTGTGAAAAATGGCCGTTTTCACTGAAAAGCCTCCTGTTACAAGTTCAAACTGCTATGAAACTATGAAAAATGCTTCAATACTAATCAGACTTGGCACAAATGTTGACTGGACCATTGCCTTTGTAACAACATGCTTAGTCTTAAATTTCCCGTTACCATGGCAACGAGGGGACATCTCAAAATTGCCAAAAATCACTATTTTGCCTCGATTTTTTCCATCAAAATTTATTTCAAAGTGCTGCAACTTCTCAAGGGATTAAGATAGAGTCAAAGGCTTTTCAGCGTTGGTTACACGTTACCTTATGATCGACCTGGGGTCATTTTTAGCCTCTCACAAGTCCAAAATTTTCTTGGCCCCCCTTCAAACCCCCCAAACAGAAGGGGGCACATCCCCCTTCTGGCAACCCCCTGATGTATCTTTTGGATGGGGGGCAGCGCCGAAAAAATGCTCATTTTTTTTAGCAACATTTCTCAAACGAAAACATGTGCTTGGGGCCCCAATAGGACATTTTTCACTATTTTAGACCTATAAAGGGGGGGGGGGGGTGTTGAAAGTGCGTTGTTTCGCGTATATATGAGGTAAAGGGTTAAGAGAAATGGCCGGGACAATAATAAAGTATGAAAATTAACAAAGGGCAATAACTCAAAAAATAAGAAGCGCAGAATAAAGACTCTTCTGCACTGCATGTCGGATCATTGAAAAAAGTATGCATACCAAGTTTGGAGAAAATCCGATTTTGTTTGTTTGTTAATGTTTCATTTTACGCCTTTTCCCAACAGTATTTCAGTCATATAGGCGGGTTACAGTTTCCTAACCATCGTTCCTGGAGAGTTACACCAGTACTAGACTACCTTCCTCCGCGCTAAACTACCAAAGCATCTCCTGGGGGGGATCAAACCCACGCCAGAGAGGTAACTGGATTAGAAGTCATCGACTCTAATCCCTCGACCATGTAGGCGGTATAGGAGAAAATCCGACTCAAAGTGACCAAGTTATGCTCCTGACAAGGCTTAGGGGACGCCGACAACGACACCAGCCAACAAAAGTAACCCCTATATGTCCCCTTTTTCAAGGCGACACAAAAAGCAAATCAGAGTCATGGGACTTGTGCCAATTATGTAAGATACTAACCACAGAGAACAAAGTGTGTGAAATTTAATCAAATACCCTTCAGTAAGTTATGGATCAGATACCAGCTAAATAATACAAGCAAAAACTTAACCAAGAATTTCTAAGTCAAAAAAGTTATGGGACTTGTGCCAATCATGTTAGAAAATCACAGAAAACAGGTGTGTGGACTTTCAATCCATTCCTTTCAGTAGTTATGGAAATAATTACCAGCTTACACATAAAAACTTAACCACAGGGATGCCTACGTCAACACCAACAAATGGGTGACTGTATTAGCTGGAGTATTCTTCCAATAGTCGAGCTAAAAATGCAAATTTAACTTAAATTTATGCCAGAAACAGAGTCAACCTTTTACATTTAAAGACAAATACTTTAGCATCTTTCAATTAACATTTTTTTATTTAATGAAAGTTTCTCAGTACCCGAGAATTATGGTCAATTGTCAAAAGATCAAAGTGGCATACCTACAAGAGCATAATGCTTTTATGTTCCCGATAAATTCTTTGTTATATAAGAGGTTCAGAAGCTGAACAAAACACCATTTTATGAGAACTTATTATAATGACTCTAATGACTATTTTTAGATTTTGGAATACCAGCTGCAGAATTATTTTTAGAGAAAAATGGGTTTATCCCAATCTATAAATGGATATTTTTAAGAGGATTTCCCTAATTTCTTACAATGTTATATATAATATGCATGGGTCATTAAAAAGTATGCCAAATGGATATATCAAAAATTTCTGAAAATGCAAGTTCCATCTGATTACCATCCCCCCAATTTCTATCACCCTTCAGAATCGATTACCAGGTTCTTGGTAACATTCTTACCCTGTCTAATCTTGACCAATTCAAACAAGCCCTGGTTCTTAAGTTGACGGTAATAATATGTATACTGTATGCATTTGACTCCACCTACATCTAATTACATGTATAATGACGATCTTAATTATGATGTGTATGTAAACCTTGTTCTCTCTTATACCATTATAGCCTGTATATTTATTAAACTCACAGGTTAGATGAAAATGTGTGTTTTCACAGTAATATTATTAAAGCCCATAGAGATCCTTGACAATTTGTATTTTTACTTTAAATCATTTCTTCACACTAACTCTAATATGAGGGATGATACAAAATAATCGAAAATTAATTTTGCTGTAAAAAATTAGTTTGTTAAATCATAATAATAAGTCAGAACAATTGTAATCAATTAAAGAATGTAAAATACAATTAATTTATATCATCTACTCTATTACAATGGTAGGTATAAATATATGCTGCAGACACAGTATTTGCAGCATGTTTTAGTTGTATTTGTTTTTATTAAGCATATGAAATATGTGAAAAGCACCACTACAAAGACTAGCACACTGACAGTCCAGTAAGCAAAACCAAAATAGATAATTATGAAATATACTGGTTAGTAAATGAGGTTGCAAATTTAAAATAAATCCAACTTGCAGAAATATCTTTACCATAACAGGTTCTATTTTAAAAGTAATAAGACATTAAATAAGTGGGCAAAAATGAATGTCACATAGACTAACAGTTACGTAACTTGCCAAGATCATATACATGTACCGTATAAGTACTTATTTCTGTGGGCTTAATATTCTGATTTTTGTTAAAATATTAGGGTGTTAAAATTTCTGCGTATCTTATTTCTGTGGTGTCATCTTTCTCGCATTGATGCCTTTTATTTCTGCATCATTTTAATTAAGATATTTGTACAAAATTTTAACCAATTAGAACAGACATCATTTCAAGATTTGTTGATACTTCATTACTTCCCATTAAAGATGCAGAGGACAGATAATGTGTTTCGTCGTAATCATTTATGTTGGTATATATAAACAAGAAAAAAAAAGAACTTGCAATGACAATAATTACACCACTGTATAGTCTGATTTTATTGACCTGTCAATTATGCATACATTATAGAACTCATTTAAATATTCGATCCCACTTCGGTTTGGTCTGTGTAGTTTACGAGAATTAATGTGGAGTATATTAGTCATGGATTGAAAGTCACGCTAGCTTAATGTGAAGGTTTTCGTTAATTCACAATAGTACAGTCGGTTAAGAGAATGCCTGATAATTTAGAGGTCTGTGGTTCGATCCTTGCTGTTGCCATTGTT